TGGGAACAGTCGAATATATACATGTAGACTGAATCGAGCAAATGGAAAAATAGATAAAAACAAATAATCCGATTGACACCAAAAAAAGTGAGTACTGAAAATGTAAGAACTCATGTGAGTAATTAATTGAAGATGCAAAAAAAAGTGACATTCAGGAGGTATCTAAAGAAGTGGAATAAGTAATTGAAGATGCAATTCGAACAAAAGTCCCATTAATCCTCCTCGTAATGAGACACATGAAATGTGGCAGAATAGTGCACGTACGTACGGGTCGGGGTTTGGGTCACTGCCATAATAATTAGCTCAAGTGGAACCATCAATCTGACACATGGCGCACCCCTCAACTTAAATACATTTCAGCCAGCATATGCATATGGATCTCTACTCCCATGAAGGACCACTTCTTCTTTTTCATCTTCCTAAATTGTTTTACGCGATAGCAATTTTGTCTAATATTTTTTATGAGTAACTTATATTTATTGAGATAATATATATTATCGATTGTTTATATACTATCAGATTATATATCTTATTTTCAGGCTATTAATTTTCTTATTATATTTTTTAAAATGTTTCCCTCATTATTAGGAGGTGATTATTTCTTATATGAAATGGTGTAAAAAATCTTGTGTATGTCCAATTCATAGAATTCGTTTTTTTAATTTATTTTTGGTATCCAATAGGAAACTGTTTGTCATAAAATTGGGAAGTTTTGTCTGCTTCAAATTTCACCTCCTCTAGAGTTCAAGAATGAATTTATTTAATTTGATATAGAGTAACAAGTAAAGGTTCATTTCATGAATAATGATGCTTAATATACTTGGTAAAAAGTACGTACATTAATAAAGAACGAGTTAAAGGCGTGGAGTAGACCTTGGACATACTTTATCATATATATATATATATATATGATTGTCTTGCGATGAATGATTAGCAAATAGGAGTATTAGTGAAGTAGAAACCAAGTGAATTTTTCTTTTAAAAAGGTGGGTCATATATTTTCTGGTCTTAGCTCAAACAGCTAATGAATTAGTAGTAATTATATTTATTATTAGTCAATAAATGGACTTTCAAAATTTGCTTAAACTTTCAAAGTCATATCAATATATTGTAAGAGTAAAATGATAAAAAAAAAAAAAAAATCTTATCCTAATTTAGTGAGTGATAAGTAATATGAGACAAATACTTTTAGTAAGATGTTCGTTTAATATAGGACAGAGGTAGTAGTTTAACTAGTAAACTACATATTATATTTATTAATTTCTTAATAAATGCAATTTTTGCTAAAATGACACTTACTTTTAGACGGAGGGAGTTAGATAAAATAAATCACTATAAATATATTTTCTTATGAGAAGTATGAAGTGAACTCGGGCAAAATAGAATGAAACTAAGAAAGTATCTTCATCGTTTTGTCCGATTTCTATTCCTATATGCTATTTACGTGGAAAACGAAAAATATTACTACTCCAATATTTTCTGCTGCCTTTTCTTCTCACTTTGGGCTCCATTTGAAAAAATTCAAGTACTCTACATTTTAAAACCCACTTTAACTGTTTTAACATGTTGGAGAATGCAGGTTGAATTAAAGTTAGAATTTTAATCATAGTAGTGGATTTTTAAACAAGAATATTTGAGCTAGTCCAATTTCATGACCAAACTAATGGGTGTTGGTACTTAGTAATGCTATGGCAACAACTCTTGCCAAAAATTGAAATACAAATCATATTGGCTCGAAAGGGGAAACGTGTTGATATTCTATAAATAGGAAAGTGGTCCATTTGGTACTAGGGAGTAATTAATTTCATCACCTCATTCATTATATGGAAAATGACCTCAACCAGATGAGTATTGGAATGTGGTCCATGTAACTTGTAAGGACCTGGTTACCTTCCTCATCAGGACACAACATAGGGACTCAACAATTCATCTCAATCTCTTTAATTTCCACACAAAAATTATATGTGTAGATACATATATATAGTAGATGTTGACTTCTATCTATCGTATATTTACTTCTTTATATTTTGAATTTCCTTACTCAAAATTCAACTATTTTACGTTTGACAAAATTTTGAAAACAATAATGAGTTAGTAAGACTTTCAATAAATCGTCATTAAAAACGTGCGTGAGACTAGTATATTAGTTGAACTTCTCAATGATCCATCACTATATATATCTGTCGGCGTTTCAGAAAAAAAAAACTTATTTAATATAATGCCTATTTATGACTTCAATTAAATTTCCTTTTTTCCCTCCTCTCCTCTATTATGCATGATGTTAACAGTACTAGTGCTGAAACACTTCACATCCATTATATTATGATTAGGAAAAACTATATAATTATACAAACATTTCTACTATGCATATTTATTAATTCTCTATATAGTTTAAAATAATTACATATAATCTCACTAATTAATAATTTTTTACCAGATTTCAAGTTAGATACACATAAATACATATATTTTGCTATCAAATACATTATGAAATACAAAAAAAAAAGGATAAAGACGAGCAAGAGAGTCAGTGTATACCGGAAACATGCGAAGCACACTAGATACATATATTTGAGATATTAGATACATTCTGAAATACATAAACGAGAGGTGAGGGAGAGAGGGATATATCGGAGAGGGGCAAGCAAGAGAGTTTGTATATCCCAGATAAATGCGATGACACTTGGATACAATGTATCCTGAACAAATTACACCTAATTTTGACCTATGTAAACGATATACATGTATGTAGGGACCAAAAATTGATGCGAATAATAATTTTGAAAACATGCGAAAAGACACAAAATTAAGTCCTAAACTAATAGGATTTGTGTTGTTTGTCATGATTATGTTGTACCTAGCAAGCTTGGGCCGGCATAGTAGTCTCTTACTCCCTCCGTCCATTTTTATTTGTCATGTTGCGTTTTTCGAAAGCCAATTTAACTTATTTTCAAAGTTAAATTAGATTACATTAATTCAATTTTTTAAACAAAAAATTTAGATATTCAAAAACTATACGAAAAGTACTATATATTGCAATTTTTTATATATCAATATGATGATTAAATATATCCTAAAATGTTAGTCAAATTTTTTAAAGTTTGACTCTAAAATGGAAAGTATGACAATTAATAGTGGAAGGAGGGAGTAATAGTCACGGGCAGAAGCGAAAATTTTCGGGCCTTTTGCTTTCCAAAGTAAGCCCCATATCAAATTTTTGGGCTGGTCCACTGATATTGCAAAGAGGCCTGGAGTTGTCAGATGAAACCCTAAACGGAATATTGGAAATTATTTAGAAGTCCTCTTTCTAATGTTTGTATATAAATTTGGGACCCAAATTTGCATAGATTTCATAATGTTAAGAGTTAAGAATCTTTTAAAATTTATGGATTCCGTATACATCACTAGACTTACGGATACATCACTGAACTTTCGATACATCAGACACCCAGATACATAAGGGAGAGATGTATCGGAGAGGAGATAAGACATTTGGATACATAAGGGAGAGATATATTAGAGAGGGAGGGATGTATTCGAGAGGGAAGGGATGTATCTGAGAGGGGAGAGATCTATCTGAGAGGGGGTGATGTATTTGAGAGGAAATTTTGTAGATTTTTTTAAATGATATGGAATTTTTGAAATTATGGTAAAATAAAATATGTATTCAGATAATTTTTCCTTATATTTACGTACTTGTATCATTTCCTTATAAAAATTACTTCACTTTTTGTTTAAGAAAACTTATATAAATATACCTTTTGGCCATTTAATTTATCTAACATGATTGAAGTGTACATTATTTATGCATTTTTTGATTATATATATCTGTATAATATATGTATATTTAATATAAAATATAGAGAAAAATATACGTTATTTATATAATATGGGTATATTTTGTAAATTAATTCGCAAAGACATTGCACTATAATTTCCTTTTTTTATTTAGTAGATATTTATTTGTTTTTCTTTTTGTGCTTGATCCATTTTAATTTGAATTAATAACTCTTACCACTTAAAAATAATTCGACCCTCCCAACACACAAAATTCAAATAAACTTAGAATTATTTTCTATAAAAATAGCGTTCTTATTTTATATAAAAATGGTAAATACAATATAACATATTATCTTAATCCCGATTCAATGTAGAAAATAACACTTATATTTTTGAAGTGTTAATTTATATAGTTTGATTTAGAGTACATGAAACAAACTAATTAGTGTTCAATGTGAATTCCAAAATAAAACTTTAATTTTTTTAAAATAATGTATACACAGTTAAAAACTATATAAATAATGTTAAGTCACAACAATAAACAATTTAAAATATTTTAAAAGTATTTAAAAAAATTATAGTGAAAAAAAAACTTTCAAACTTTTCACACAGTAATAACATAAAGACAAACAAATGAAGTAGAATGAGAACAATCAGATCTCAACTTCAAACACCTGTAAAGACAAAAAAAATATTAATTGATATTTTTTATACGTGTCAGCTTGTATTTCGTGAAATTAGTGAGTGTTTGGTACAAGAGGAAACTAGGTTATATTTGGCCATAGATTTTCAAATATCATATTTTGGGGATATGTATTTGATCATAGTTATTATGAAACATACTTCACTTTAAAAAAAATAAAATCATTAAACATGATTTATACCCATAAGCTCAAAAAACTATTAACATACCCATACGTTTGACACAAAATTATTACTATTATTTATATAAACTAGATAATACATTATCGAAAATCAAACAAATATTTTTAATAACTACTAATAATACAATCACCATCTATTACAACTCGTTACATTACAATTAGTTACAAAAATCCGTTGATGAAAAAGAAGAAAGAAGATAATAACAACAATATTAACTAGTTATTTTTTCCATCATATTTTAAAAACAATTTCTTTTGATAAAGATAAATGTTTTACTATAATTTGGGATGTTATAGATTTTTTGCCAAATTATGCGGAAAAAGTATAAATTGCAATATATATGGCTCTACGGCGAAACGGTGTGTTGCTGAAGTTGATAAGAGAGAATGGTGGGAGTTTCCTCTATTCAACCCCGCTTCGTCTCTACCTTTCTTGGCGATTGCCGCTTCATTAACCATCCTCATCACTCACTTCATCGACTCTTCCATTACAGCCCAGGTTCTTCATTACTTACTTTGTGCTTCTTGAATCTTGATGACTACTTTGGGACAAAATATACCCTCTTTTCTTGTTTTACTGTTTTTGATTTCCCCTTTTTTTTTTCTTTACTGCTTCAAGATTTTGAATTTACTCATAATTTGTGCTTTCTTGTCTCAAGATTTTATGATGGTAGTCATAATAGTGCTCAGGAGGACCTAGTTGAATCTTTTATGTAACTGTAGTATCAAAGGAAGATGTTTCAAACAAAATTGAATCTTCAATGTGTAACTAGTAAAGGCAAATGTCATCGACTCTTCCATTTCAACCCAGGTTCTTGATTACTTTCTTTGTGATTCTTGATGATATATATTGCAACCCAGGTTCTTGACTACTTTCTTTGTGATTATTGATGATATATATATTCTCATCTACTACTTTGGGGCAAAAAAAATAATCTCCCCTTCCTTTTGAGTTCTTGGATTTCCCCCCTTTTTCTTTACTTCTTCAAGATTTCAAATTTACCTATGATTGTGCTTTCTTGTCTCAAGGTTTTATGATGGTAGTATTCATAATAGTGCTCAGAAGGACATAGTTGTATCTTTTATGTAACTGTAGTATCAAAGGAAGATGTTTCAAACAAAATTGAATCTTCAATGTAATCTAGTAAAGGCAAATGTCATTGACTCTTCCATTGCAACTCAGGTTCTTGATTACTTTCTTTGTGATTCTTGATGATATATATTGCAACCCAGGTTCTTGATTACTTTCTTTGTGATTCTTGATGATATATATTGCAACCCAGGTTCTTGATTACTTTCTTTGTGATTCTTGATGATATATATTGCAACCCAGGTTCTTGATTACTTTCTTTGTGATTCTTGATGATATATATTGCAACCCAGGTTCTTGATTACTTTCTTTGTGATTCTTGATGATATATATTGCAACCCAGGTTCTTGATTACTTTCTTTGTGATTCTTGATGATATATATTGCAACCCAGGTTCTTGATTACTTTCTTTGTGATTCTTGATGATATATATTGCAACCCAGGTTCTTGATTACTTTCTTTGTGATTCTTGATGATATATATTGCAACCCAGGTTCTTGATTACTTTCTTTGTGATTCTTGATGATATATATATATATATATATATATTCTACTCTGGGACAAAAACAAATCCCCCCCTTCTTTTCTTTGAGTTCTTGGATTTCCCCCCTTTTTCTTTACTTCTTCAAGATTTTGAATTTACCCATGATTGTGCTTTCTTGTCTCAAGGTTTTATGATGGTATTCATCAAATAGTGCTCAGGAGGACATAGTTGTATCTTTTATGTAACTGTAGTATCAAAGGAAAATGTTTCTAATAAAATTGAATCTTTTATGTAACTAGTAAAGGCAAATATTTCATCAACTGTAAGTACTCATTTTGACGATTACTGTTTATGCTTACTCAGGAAATAAACATGTCTCCATGCAATGCTCAAGAACATTTTCTGGGTTAACGGATTTGTTATTCAATAGACGGTATGTTTTTTGTTCTTTAAGTTGTTTGGTTTTCAGCATGCTAATTACCATGCTATTTTCCTTCTTTTAGTCCTAAAACATATGACGTTTCGACTGTCAATACCATGGTTGCATGCTCAATTCCTTACTGTTTTTGTTTATGCTGCCATTTTCTGTTCCTGGTTCTTGGTAGTATAAAGCTAGGAGATTCCTCACATTGATAAAGTCATACTTGGTTTGAGAATGAGGGATTAGTATACATCATTAGTGGATCTTTGCTAAATGAAGTTTGTCATGCTTCTGATCTTAATGTTTAGGTTCTGTTTCAATCAGTCCCATTAGAGTTCATCTCTTCAAATTTAATTGTAGAATTCGGAAAATAAGCGTAGTCAGCCTTTGATCCTAGCTCCATTTGTGACCAAATCTGAAAAGCATTCCAAGGGCATGGCGGCTGAAAGCAGTTTGAAACTTGTATGGATCAACATTGAGAAAAAAAGGGAAAATTAGCGAATTATCTTTTCCACCTTACCTTGCACCCAATAGCCTCTGTATGCCTTATACCTCACATTAGTCACTTTTTTGCCCAACAATTAGACTTTTGAGCCTTGGCATTATTGGCTTCAACCCGCTTCTCCTTCCTGTCGTTTTAGCCTCTTCCCCCTTTTGGACCTATTACCTTGAACTGGACAACATATTCCCATATACTTGTTTGTCCTTTGCTCCATTAGCGTTAACTGTGTCCCACTTATTCTTTTGGAGTGTGAAACTGAACAAGTTGTTAAATGTTTTTTTTAAGAATTTCTTTTAAAAAGTGGAAACATGAAATGTGCCCCAAATGTAAGTAGATCAGTTAATCTGAGGATGATGTATTGGAATTTGGAATTGTCTATAGTAGGAGAGTGACAGACTGACAGTTGCAAGATGCAGACATGGTGGGTGCAAGCAAATATCAGTACAAAAGGTCTTGGGAAGCTCTTGGTCATAGTTGAGTAGATTTATTTAAAGATCATGCTAGATACTTGTAACTTGATAACTTTTGGCATTGTCGAGGTGCAAATGAAAGACATCTCTTTTGTTTATCAGAAAGAAAGTTTGTAAGCTCTTAATTTGCTATGGTTTCTAAAACCTTCTAGACAGTCTTAATAGGTTCTTAAAACCTGTGTTTCATGAATACTGCATTTATTGTAGGTTCATTTCTGAGTTGTCTGTACTGATATGAGAGGATTCTGGTACTGGGAATAGTGTTGTCCATCTCTGAGTGAGGTCACGAGAAGGTCCCCTCAGACCAATCTGCAAGGGACTTGCATATGTTTTGCTTCTTGTGGTTCTTCCTGTACTAAATTTGATTTTACAGATAGATTAATGGCTGATGAAATATGAAAAGTTACTATGGACTATTTGAATTTGAACTTTCTTCATGTGAGAACAAGGTTCAGCAAATGGAAAGTTTCTGTAATGTTTCCCTTATTTTACTATATTCCTACTTCTGCCTGTTTGCTGCATGCCTTGGATGCTAATTTAAAACTAAACTTGGCAGAAATGTAGATGAACTTCCAAACACCAATCGCAATCGTTTAAGACCAGGTCAAATTTCTCCTCCTCGACCAGTTCCAGAACAAATACAAAGGCCTCCATATGTGAAGTCTAGGAAGCCACCTGGGATTGGTAGTGGCTCCGAAGTGCATGACAAAAAGGGAATAGAAAAGATGAGAGCTTCGGGAAGGCTTGCTGCACAGGTTCTTCAGTATGCTGGGACATTAGTCAAGGTGATTTATGGAGTACCTTCTACTCAAGTATCTATGTGGCATTCCTTGCACACACAAGCTTCATTTAGGTTAATAAATCAAGATTTGTGTTTGCCCCAGTTAAGGCTTTCAGTAACTGACTTCGATGCTACGGTCTATATTTCCTGTCTTTACTGTGATCATCTTCTTGCTTTGAACTTTTGAAATTAACTTATTAAATTAGACATCTACTTTGTGTTTTTGCTCCTTTTAGGTTCTTCTTTGCAGACACGTTACAACCAAGGGTGTAGCTAGTAAGAGGGGTAGGGGTTCAATTGAATCCCCTTTGCTGAAAAATTACACTGTACAAGTAGGGTAGAATTTTTTATTTTTTGTGGATAAATTGTTGAACCCCCTTGATATAAGAGAAATTTCTAGTGTAGTGGTAAGGGTGTTCAAAAGTTGTTTTAGGTCAAAAGTTCAAAGATCACCTATGACATTCTACTATTCTTCTGAATGCCCCTTATGTAATTCCTGGTTTGGCCAGTGGTTACAGTCTGCTTTTACAAGTCCTTTCGTTCCAATTTGTAGGACAACTTTCTATTTTTGGATGTTTCGAAATGTTTAATACCGTTTCATTTTTATATTACTTTCGCAAATTTATGAAGCTGTTCAAGTTTTAAACATTGATGTGATCTTTTCCCTGTTAACTAACTTCTCAGCCATAACTTTAATTTTTTTCTTCAACTTTCACTAATATTAGATGTACGTCAAATTATCTTATTAAACTCCATGCACATAATTACCATTATAAAATGGAATATGGGGGAGTAAATGGTTCTCATTTTTCTTTCTTTTTGTAAATGAATAGAAATGTAAAGAACGTGTAGTGTCAGATAACTCCAAATTATTCAATATTGGAATGTAACAGGTCTAAATGGTGCAAATGGATAGTGAGGATTTATGTAGCCAACTCCACCTAGCTTGGGTTTGAGGCGTAGTTGTTATAGTAGCTGCCGTTGCATCAGACGGAGATTGTCTTTAAATGGGTGTAAAAAGATCAACAATCAAAGTAGTTTCTTAGGTTTTTTGAAGCGTGCTTCATTTTAAATCTACATTGCTATTCCTTCTGGCAGCCAGGCATCATGACAGACGAAATTGACCAAGCCGTTCACCAAATGATCATTGACAATGGAGCATATCCATCACCTCTTGGTTATGGTGGATTTCCAAAGAGTGTATGCACATCAGTAAACGAGTGCATTTGCCACGGAATCCCAGATTCACGTCCACTTGAGGTTTGTTAACAGTTGTTTTCCTTTATAACCAAGAATTCAACGTTGCAACAGGCTAACATTCTTATGCTCTGTGATATTTAATGATTCAGGATGGGGATATTATCAATATTGATGTCACCGTTTATCTTAATGTAAGTTGTTTGTTGCGATTAATTAGTACCATTACTTGTCTCTTCATTGCTTCAACTTTTCTGTTTAAACCAATATTTGTTATGGATCAATAGAGAGAAACTGGTATGAGATGCCTTCTTGAAGCTATGAATATGATGATGTAAGATTTTGGTTCTTCAACATGTCGTTATCCTTATTCTTAAGAACCAGGGCTTTTTGCGTCACTAATGCCATCGTTGATTTAATCTTCTTGTATTGGTTTTCCTGTCTGCTGATTGGGATTTAAATCACTAGATTTATAACTATTGGTACTTGTAATCTTTTGAAGTTAATGTGTGTTATCTTTGTTTTTTGCTCCCTCTTATGCTATTACACTAAAGTGATAATACTTTTTCCAACCCCCTATAAGTCAGATCCCTATGCCACCTTCAGAACCTCTTCTTTCCCGTCTCCAGTGCCCTTACTCCTCTTCACTACTATCTCCTACTTAAGTCTCCAAACACAACTGTTCCCACCGTTCCTACGTGGGTAGAAGGGGTTCTTGTGGTCATGGTCATGGACGTTTAATCATTATATTGTAGGGGGAGGAGCGTGGTCTGCTGAGCATTTTTTCAGTGTAGGCCACCAAAGGTGAGAATAGTCAGTAGATGGGGCATTGATGAAATGTGGTCAGTTGGGATTTTGGTGGTGGGTAGTACAAGATGTATGTATGTAGGCATTTATTGGCGGTGTAAGGTAATCACTTGGTAAGTAGAGAAAGTTGGGAAGCCTTTTCTTCAGTTTATAAAGTTGTAAATTTTTTATGAAACAATATGGAGAGTAAATGTCAGTTGGATATTGATGACATGTCAATGTACGGAGGATGTGCTTTTCTTGATGCACTATTTTCTAGGTCTTCCCTTCCTCTTCTGTGTCTCACCTGAAATTTAATTAGTCGAACATGGTTTAATAAATGCAGTCTATGACTCAAGAAACTCAATTTTCTCTCTGTTTCTCTGCTTGGCTTGATTGATTATGCAGGGTTACCATGGTGACACCTCAGCGATGTTCTTTGCAGGAAATGTTGATGAGGAAGCCAAAAACTTGGTGCAAGTATGACTTCTTGATGGTGTTAGTGCCATTTTTTTTTTGAATTCCTACCTTTTGTGCTACCAAGTGTTCTGTATGCTTTAACTTATCAACACCAAAAAAAAAAAACTCTCTTTTGTGATTTAGAGGGAGACACCTTATTTTGTTGTATAGATGCATCTGCAATTCCTCCTATTGATTTTTATTTGATGCCTCAGGTGACTAAAGAGTGCTTGGACAAGGCAATATCAATATGTGCACCAGGAGTGGAATTCAATAAAATTGGCAAGACGATACAGTAAGACATCTACCTAAATCTTCTCTCTTTTTTGTTCTTGTGCATCTCGGTCTGCTAAATGCTTGAAGGATTTGTCTCGGGATGAAGGTGAATTTGTCATGAAAATCAATGTTGCAGCTGGCATAGTTTGGCAAATTGACTTGAGGAATAGGACCCATAAATGTCTGATATTTCGTGTAAATTATTAATATGCGGTTATGACCTATTTACATCAATATATTGCTTGTTTAGCATAGCATGTTTTGATTGACATTAACGTTCTATTTGTAGTGACCTTGCAGATAAACATCGCTATGGGGTTGTGCAACAGTTCGTTGGCCATGGAGTGGGACGTGCTTTCCACAGTGATCCAGTCATTCTGCACTACAGTAGCTTCCTTATTTTTAATATCTAACCTCCTTACTGCTCTTTCTATGTGTAGAAATATATGAGCAATAGTGAGCCTATATGGTTCAACTTGTTTGCAGCATAATTTGTACTGTTTGCGTGGGAAAAGCATTATCTTCTTGTTCAGTTTTCTACTTGTGCCATCCAATGTCAATGGACTGGATATCCAGCTTGCTAAATGTTGCAACAACACCTCAAACTAATATTTGCATGAGATGTAAGAATAAACTGCGTTTGTATCAGGGGTTAAAAAGTAGAGCCCACTTCAAAATTTATTTGTATTGCACCCAAATACTTATATTTAAGCTGTTTCTAACATTTATATTGAATCTCTGTTTAGTGTTGGTAACTAGTTCGAACTACTGTAAGTTATCTGAGATGACGAAAATAAGTTGCTTCACGCTGTTGGTTTGATCTATATCAATTTACAAAATGTTTCATTCATTTGCAAACCTCCATCCTCTTGGGCAGATTTGTAATACATAATAATGAGAAAATCCTATTCTAAAGAAATTTTGTACAAAATGAGAATTGAGCTCATAGTTCTAAGGTGGTGTCTCTGAAAAATAATCTATTTGAATGCATAATCACATTTTTTACTTGCATTTAATATTATTCTTGCCTTCTTAAACCAAGTAATTCTCTTTATATCAATTTTTATTTTGTTATATTTGTTTTCTTTCCCAGGGAACAATGATCGCGGACGGATGGTGCTCAATCAGACATTCACTATTGGTAATTTTACAATAGTTTATTAATTTCCACGATGGTGAAGAGACATACTGTGACATAGCTGCACAATATATTCCATGTTAAATAAATGTCTACTTGAACTCTGTTTATAGATATTAACCAAAAGCTGGTAGCTACTGTGTTGTCTCCTTTTCCCCTGTAGTCTGTGATTTAGCTAAGACCTGAGGTTTTACAGTGCTTAATGTTTATGAATCACATGAGTAGTTTATGTTTTCACGTCTTGTTTTGTTGTAATTGATGCATCGGTCACTTTTTGGAGCATAAAATTACTATTCCATCGTTGTGTGCACGATTTTACTGTGCTGAATGCAACTTTTTGCTGTGCTGTACAGAGCCGATGCTGACAATTGGCAGCATAGATGGAGTAATATGGGATGATGATTGGACAGTTGTTACAGAAGATGGTAGTCTATCAGCACAGTTTGAGCACACCATTTTGATAACTGCAGATGGTGCTGAGATTCTAACGCAGTGCTAGCGATGGTCCTGCAACAGCATCGACAATTCAATATTGGTAACTACAATTCTCAAATCGACCTTGTTAGTTTTGGTGCTGTAATATTCTTTAAATTCGTGCCATAGAAATAAAGTTGTTATTACCTTTCATTCAAATTCTTTTAAACCTTTTCAGAAAATGGGACAAGAGAAGGAAAGAAGACTTGTACAAGCATTTTTAAACTTGAAACCCCTACTTATGTAGACAATGGCAGACGAGAGTTAGGGGTATTGAATAGTTACAGACTTACAGGTAAATGATTTGCGTGGGACATGGTAATCACGAAACCTTGGCCGATGTATCTGGCGGCACGTATTGTTTGTTGATCATAATTTATGAATTCAGTTATCACAGGGAGCATACGTTGCATATCTATGAAAAAGATTTTATGCTTGTTTCTTTCTCTTGTTTGAGACAAGTCGTGAATCTTCTATATTGTGGGAACAGCCAGAAAGAAGATAGAAAGACCGGTGACTGGTCTGTTACTGCTTCAGATGGATTATACGAGGTCACTACTCTCCTTCCTGATTGACATTTCCTTTTTAAAATGGCTCATTCTTCAACTCCATGTTGTGATGACCTATTCTATCTTAACTTTAGTTACTTAGAAACCTAATTGATGGATGTTTTTCCCTGTATTCCCAAACCAATTTGCCCATTTGAGATGTCTCCATGTGTGGCGTGATAAGATAAAGAACACCAGGGGCCTGATCTGTCTATATTTATGACAAGATTAATGATTTGGCCAAATTCTGAACTTAAAATAGTTATTTTTTTGAAGTTCGTCTTATGTACGCCCCACCCCCCGAATTAGGCAATGAAACTCATAATGTATTGCGTGGAATGCCAAAGTTTATATCTACCACAAAATTCACAATTAATAGTGTTCCATTCCCAAGTTTTTCTTGCACGGCTCTGCAATTTTACTGTTTTCACGGGAGTTTGGAAAAGAAAGACTGCAATTGTATATTACGTGAGTTAAACTTGTCATAAATATGAACTTCTGTGCATAGCTTTGATAATTTATCTACGCGCTATAAAAGGCCAATTCAAGTTGAAAGCAATTACTACCGAGTCCTGGCTAAGCATTACAAGCTGTATTTGGACAGTCTTCAAATTAAAACCTGAATAATCCGTACACAGCTTCTTCTTTACTTGATTAAAATTGGAAATCATTTAACGTAATGGGAAGTATTTTCGTCTCATTTACGTGCTTTTGGTCCTAACAATAATTAAATTACTTGTACTAGTTATTTGGTGCCATCTATATATACACAATACGCAGAGACAATAAATTTAAACCAAGCATTACGAATAGAGGAATTTAATTGCAATAGCTAAATCCAACTGAGCAATGGCGCGTTATGGAGAAAGAATTACAGTGTTGAGCATTGATGGAGGAGGAGTTAGGGAAATCATTCCAGGAACTATATTGAGTTTTCTTGAATCAAAGTTACAAGTATGACAGTACTTCATATTTTATCCATGGAGCATTTGCACAATATTAAAATATTACACTATCTTGCAGGAGTTGGATGGACCAGAAGCTCGACTTTGATATAATAGCAGGGAGTAGTACCGGAGGCCTAATCGCCACTATGTTAATAGCACCAAACCAACATGGCCGTCCTCTTTATGCTGCAAAGGATATTATTCCATTTTATAAAAAAGCAATGTCCCAATATCTTTCCACCGCGCAAGTATAATTTTTTTTAATTATGTCGTTATTAACTGTTCAATCTCCTCCTACTTTTAATTTAACATAATGCAAACTAACATACTTTGCAGTAAAATGGTAACGCTACTAAGTATGATGTTGTGTGGTCCAAAATATGACGGCAAGTATCTAAGGAATTTAATCCGTGGAATCTTGGGGAACCGAAGATTGCACGAAACTATAACTCATTTGCTTATTCCCACTTATGACATCAAAACACTTGAGCCCCAAATTTTCTCTTCATCTGAGGTTTTAAATTTTACCTCACTACACCTGTTTTTTTAAAAATAAATCGTTTTCCTCCATTAATTGTGCTAATTTTAACTAATGCAGGCCAAGATGGATCCTGGCTTTGATGCTTTACTATCAGATATCTGTATTGGTACTTCGTCAGCTCCAGTTTATTTTCCTGCTCACTTGTTCAAGACAAAAGATTGTCATGGGAATGATAGAGAATTTAACCTTATAGATGGAGGCATTGCAGTCAAAAAAACATATATACTTGAGTCCTGTCACAGTAAAATGTAGTTATTTATTTATGAAGGCATTGCTGGCGATGAGACCAACTGGAGCCAAAGCAAATTTATTACCGGCAAATGTTCTGGATTATGACAAGTATCTAGTTCTATCTGTGGGAACAGGTACTTCCAAGTCAGAAAGGAAATACGATGCAGCCAAATGGGGACTCATTAGTTGGCTCTATAAAGATGGAAAATGCCCTTTGGTTGATGCTTTTACATTTGTCCTTGCTTTTTAGCACTGCTGGACATATAAACAACTACCTTCGCATCCAGGTCTTTCATTTTTTTCCGCTTTCTATTCTTTTTGTAGCTCAGTTGGTAGGCTAACTAAAGTAATCCCCTCTTCATTTCCCCTTTCCATATCCCCAATTTGTGAAAGAAAATAAAATTGTAGCTGTCATTTAGGTGACCTGCATATGGAAGTAGAGGCAAATCCAAAACTTGAACTTTATGGGTTCAATCTTTAATAACCTTAGATAATCTTAGTATTAATAACTCGTTATATTTTTAAGTTTGGGTTCATTTCTACTATTTATTGTAATATTATATATAAATTTATGATGTGCATCAAAAGTATTGAGTTCAGATGAATCTGACTCTAGGTGTGAATTAAAGTGAAACTCTTTTAATTTTGACAGGATGACAATTTAAGCGGAGATGCGTCATCGACTGATAAAGCAACAAAGAAGTGCATTTGAGAATCTGGTGAAGATTGGTAATAACATCTTGCAAAAGCCTATTTCAAGGGTGAATCTTGAAACCTGCATAAATGAAGCTGTTGAGAATGAAGGCACAAATGAACAATCTCTTATCAGGTTTCTATCTAATTAATTAATTCATGTATAATCCAAATACTAATGATTAGAGAAACTTTTGAGTATTTGTAGATATATAACTTTCAGAATATTTAACTAATCAATTTGATTAATAATTAGTATTGTATTTTTTTTTAACAGATTTGCAAAGCTGCATTCACAGGAGAAGAAACTTCGCACTAAAAGGATGGAAGAGAAAAACGTCTTTGGTAATGGACATGCATGAACAATTGTAGAATAAGCCAAAATTTGTTAATCTAATTGATTAACTGACCAGTATTTGGGTGTGTCACAAAACACAAACGTATGTAATATAATTTTTTTTTAGAGACGGTTGAAGGACAAGCAACGAGGGGGAAAAGGGTGTGGGAGGGTGGAGGGGGAGTAAAAATAATAAAACACAATCTAATGATACTTTTGTGTTTTAGGTGTTGTTAATTAATTCTTGATGATTATTTGATAATTGATGACTAATTAAAGAGTGTGTTTGGTATAGAGGAAATATTTTTATTTTAAGAAAATAAGTTTTTAAAAATGAAGAAATGAATTCCTTAATCAAAGTAAGAAAAATAAGTTTCATAAATGACATTCTATGTTTGTTTCATCCTCCCCATCTCCAACACTCTCAACCCCCTACCCTTGACCTGACCATCCCATCCCGAGGCCCCACTCCCACCCCCTTCACTCTCATAGTATTTTGCTAGATTTTATATATATATACATATATATAATATTGAGATGATATATTTTTTTGTTTATTTACGAAATAGCAGAAAATAAGTACTTTTCAAAAAAAAAAAAAAATTCAATAAAAGAAACAAGCTACTACCAGTCAAAAGCTTCTGACCGTGTAAAATAGAGTTCTACCGACACAATGTATTATAAGTATATTAAAATGTGTGATAAATATATTATTTATGAATAAAACTTGTATTGTATGTGTTTTATAAATAGTTATATGTATTAAAAATGCATTATAACTTATAAGTGTGTAGTGAAAAAAATGTGTTGCGATAAAATATTTCTTAATATATATAGCGTATATATGTAGTTTCCGTATGTGTAATGTAACTGGGGATAACTGTAAGTTTCCTAAAAAACCAAAACAATGTAGGTAACGGATTATTATTTATTGGGCTTTATCGCCGCGTTTGCTGAAAAACGAACGGGGCTTCACTCGTTTTCTAACGTCAGGCCCAACAGCCCAAGATAAAATCGTCAAACCTATAAATTTCCTTTCCATTTAATCTTACCACTTCTCTAGAACAACAAACTTTCATCCATGGATTCTTTACCGGTGAATTGGGAGGCACTAGACTCTCTGATTATCGATTTCGTCAAATCGGAAAACCTAATCGAAGACTCAGGTTCTCCTTCAACTTCGCCGTCGACGTCTCTATCGCCGTCTTCGTCAACCTCATCTTCATCTTCTTCCTCTTATCAGTCAAGATTACTTATTCGGCAGATCAGACGTTCAGTGGAGTTTGGTGACATTGATGCCGCTATCGATCTCTTGCGTCTGCATGCGCCTTTTGTTCTTGATGATCATCGTCTTCTCTTCTGCTTACAGAAGCAGGTAACTTGCTGTTTGTCTCCAGACTTAAAATCTCGGAACAACAGTGAATTAATTCTCTCTGTTTTGAACTTTCTAGTATCATAGTTTCTCTAACTCACCAATTTCATTTAGTTAGCGATGATTTAAAATTAATTGACGCAACTTCTGAAGACGTTTTCGAGTTACTAGTTTCTTAAGTCTTGTCTATCTGACTTGCATATGTACAGATGCCACCTGATTATTGTCTTACCTTTTCCTTATTGAGGTTGAAAGCCCGCTTTGTCCTTACCTAGGTTCTTCAACGCCCCACGGGTTCGCTCTGGTAAAGGGCATAGAGATATTTTAATTGTTAAAGCAATATTATGGATGATTTTAGTATAAAATACTAGATATAAATTTTAACATGATAAAATTAGTCATTAATCTTTATTAGAAAAGTTAAAGATCAAAATGGTTTTTGAACTTGATTAAAATTCATTTAATTAGGCTTCTAACGATATAATTGTTTCTTTTCATTTGTTGTTACATTTTCTTGTAACACACAGAGACACATATTCCCTTACCCCTATGTATTTCTTCATTAAAGTGCCCCCTTTAATTATGCTTTAAGCCAAGGGTCACTTGGTGTGTTTCTCTACCATTTTCCTTTTTTTTCTTCTTTCTTATGTGATTAACCACAAGCCAACAACTGTTGAGTTGAGTGAGAGGTTGATCACTGGGTGACACATTTTGGATTTCAAAAATCTGAAGAGGCTTTCTGGAGAAATCTTAGAGTTTCAGTTCATCTATGAAACTTCTTGGTGATATGCTTCACCGAAGTTATTTTTAGGTTCAAATGTCTGTCCATGCAAACTCGTTGGTAAATGAAGTCAAACTTTTTCGCCATGCTTCACTTTGACAAATAATTGATGATCCTTGAAACTTGTCTCCATGATTTTTATGCAGAGGTTTATTGAGCTTTTGAGGAAAGGAACTGCAGAGGACCGAGAATCTGCCATTAATTGCCTCCGAGAGTCACTGGCACCTTGTGCGTTGGATGCATATCCAGTAGGTCCCTGCATATTCAATTGAATTCCCTTATCAACATTGACACTAGTGAATACCTCTTGGATCTGTCAACACCACAATTTATTTTTAAATTATTTTTTTGTAATCACAACACGACTTATATAGATACTTGTCGTTGTGTATGTTTCTCAATAAGTTATGTTTATGCAGCACATAGATAATATTTGTTTTGACAAGATCATTCCTGGTGTTTCTTTGTGGTTCAAGGATGGAATTTCACATCCTAGGTTCTTTGTCATAAATCATGTTTTCCATAGATACTGGTTATGCTAGATGATAGTGACTTGCATGCTATCCTCAGGTTCTCGCCACTTTGGATCCCATTACATCAATTCCATACTTTCAAAATAGTACATTTGAGTTCTCTCAATCTCATTAGCAAAAACAATTTTCTATGTGTATACTTAATCCGTATATGAGAATCATTTCGCTTCACATGGTTCTCCTTACACTTGGGTTCTAATGAATGTTTTAACTTTTTATCTTAAGGAAGCATATGAGGAATTTAAGCATATTCTTCTTGCCTTGGTTTATGACGAAGAAGATAAGAATTCTCCAGTGGTGAGTGAGGTAAGAGGTTATTTCATTGGCCCCGAGTAAGAATTCCATAAATGTTCATCTGGCAGCAGTTAGAGGGGTTTATTGAGATTTTTTTTGGGTAACGAAGATACTGAATGTCTCATTTTAGTAGAAGTGACTAACGTCTTTGCACATCACTATCCCAGTGGTCTCCAAGGAGGAGGATTGACATTGCTGGACTGCTGTCATCTGTTTTAAGGGCTCATTTATGTGCATATGATCCTCTTTTTGCAATGTCATTGAGGTACTTGATAAGGTTGGTACAACTTCCAGATGATCCATGACAAGCTTAGATGCTCATTCAAAACCCAATGAAATGGAGACTCCTTATAATTCGTTCATCAGAGATCCAAGTCCTCTTACTATTCTTTTTAAAATTTCACAATCATTTTGCAGCATACACAAGTTGTTTTGCTTTCGTCAGGGAGTTCCATCACCTATATCAGATCTTACACAGAGATTACTTCTTGAGGACCGTGACCCCCCTGCAACACCACTTGAGAGTTCCTATGAAGCACCTCCGTTTGATGAGGTTATAAATCTTAGCTACTCTATTACAATTCTGTTGTAATTGTTTTGGTTATTAAACCTGAAGAGGATGCGGTTTGTAAATGTGGTAATTCTCTTTTGTTGTTTTATTATATTTTTCAGAAATCTTAGAGAATATAGAAAACCTCTGGTGTTAGAAAGCCCCTAATTTGCCTTAAAAGACAAATTATTGGATATTGGAGTAAAATGTGTTCAATCAGAGTGGTGACTGGTTGGTATTAAAAGATTCCTATTACAGATGCCAACTAGTTTCGGTTGGAGGCGTAATTGTTCGTAATTTTTTTTGATTACTTTGAAGTAAGATTTTTGGTGCTTAGTATAATGTGCATTATTTGTTGAAGTTTAAACTGCCTTATCTTCTTTTTCTGGGGGACTAGGCTTTAGAAATTCTTCTAATGATCTAGGCATTGTGTCACATCAATATTTTATGAAATTAGGTGGACATACAAGCTCTTGCTCATGCGGTAGAGCTTACAAGGCAGGGGGCTATTGATAGCTTGAGATTTGCCAAGGGTGACTTATATCAAGCATTTCAGGTTAGTATGCTGAAATATTTGCTATTTAATAGCAGCTGTTTGCTAAAATCTGAATTATCTGCAACATTACTTTAAACTGGGTTAGTTTCTCATAGATGCTTGCATATATCACACTATTTCTGCCACAATTTTCTGATGGTAATTTGAAGTCTAGTGATGTCCTCGTCCAGCATCACCCTGCTGTTGCATTGATTTATGCAAAATGTAAGTCTAGTAATAACTGGTGAAGCTGAGAACATTGTTGATGGTGTTCTATATATCCCCCTAATTTTGGGGTATTTTCTGTTTCTTGAAATGAAGCTGTTATTAAAGTTATCTGCTTTTGATGGAGTAGAGAAGGATCTTGTATACTTGAGGGAATAGCCTCTTACCCCTTATTTCGTTTTTGTGCACCCATGAGGTTTTTGTTTGTATAGAAGATTGGTTGTCATTAGTAGAAAACCATGTGTTTTGTAAGGTTTTCTATTTTTGTGGTGTACTTCGTGTAGATGGTCGAGTTTTTACCCCCTTTTGAATGAATTAAAACATTGTCAAAAAAATTGAAGTTATCTGTTCAACAAATCAGGCTGTATGATTTTTTTTTGCTTCAACAACAATTCATTTTCTTTTCACTAAATGGAAAATCACTCTGTAGTTCTTTACTTGGGCATCCAGTGGCTTTTCTCAGTAAAAAAATTCTAGGATGGGACTGAGAATGATTTCGTCACACATTTGCATTCTTGTTGAGTTGTTTTCTGTTTCTTGTAGTGTTCCAGATTTTCTGCAATTTGCTGATGAGGTAGATCTAGCTTGTTAATTGTACAGCTTTGAGGTCAAATAGTAGAAAGTCACAAATACTTCTGTTGAGATTGTGCCTGTAACTTTGCTGTTGCAGAATGAGCTGTGCCGAATAAGATTGGATGACCCCATGTTTGATGAGCTTGTTCATGAGTATTGTGTCTATAGGGGTTTTGTCAACTTCAGTGTGGTAGATTCTCCTGGTAACTTTCTGAGCAACTTTACTTTCCATTCTTACATTCTGTTTGCTAATATGTTTCTCAAGGCTGGCTTTTATATTTTTTCCATTACCCAGGGATGCAACTTAGTATCAATGACGATCAATCAGAGTCTGGACAATTATCAAAGAACTGTTCCACAGAAGTTGGGGACGGAAACACTAAACTTTCTGGCAGTGACACGTCTGCTTCTCAAGTTATCATGGAGGGATCACCTGAAAGTAATACCAACTTGGCTAGCATTCAAAGTACTGATACTGAAGAGCGTTACCCTAGTGAAGCAAGTTATGGAGATTGCAGTACCAGTGGGACTCCTCAGTTTGAAAAAGTTCTGCAGAAAAATAAGTGTCTTAGAGTTGGCGAAACAAACAAGCGGAAAAGGTGGAGGGGGAGACATGAAAACACCGAATTTGTGTCTGGACCTACCAGTGAAAGGAGCAGAGAAGATCTTAATGCCGATACGACAATGTTGAAAGATCAGCAGGCATGTATTTTATTTTTTCAAAGTAGAACATATAACAAGAGAAAGTAAAAGAAAAAAAGGATGCGGAAGTAGTGTTCGAAGTAATCATTGCTTTGACACCTTTCATTACAGGTTTCTCCAAAATCGTGCTTCCTGAATATGATGAAGAATAGAGAGGACAAGCATGAACTTGTGCTGGGCTTGAAGGAATTAGCTAGCAGAGGAATGACAGAGGACGTTGTTGAGGAGATTAATGAGATGGATTCAAACTTTTTTGTGCAGAACCCTTCTCTGCTTTTTCAACTTAAGCAGGTATGGAAGTTAAAACTTCTGCTTGGGACAAAGATCAGTGGAAGTTATAAAGCATGTTTATATTGATTAAGGCATTTAAAAAATAATCCTCTGGGCAGGTTGAATTTTTGAAGCTGGTTGGCTCTGGGGATCATACTCAAGCACTGAGGGTAGCCTGTTCTTTTCTGGGTCCTTTGGCTTCTGGTCATCCTGATCTGTTGAAGCCATTGAAGGAGACTTTGCTAGCTTTACTCAAACCTAATGAAGAGGCATTTAATGATCGCTTGCCCTTATGTGTTCTTGCCAATACACTCCAGGTATGACATTCTGCACTCTTTATGGTAAAAACAGGTCCCAGGTGAACTGTTGCCAGCTAATCTTTTTCCACCCTTATGTCCCCTTTATCTCCTTGTCTGTGTATCTGTGTATATGTAAGACTGGAGTATTGTTTCTTGATTCCAGAATGCACTGTGCTTTAAGTACTCTTGTCCCAGGTTGGATGACATTGTTTGTCTGCTGTTAAGGCTAAGAAAAGAAGTTTAAGTAACAGCTTGATGATAGAAATATAGAACGTCCTACATCAGGTGTATTAAGGTTTCTAATGGGGGTTATAATAGTAATGGGGCACTTACCCATTGCCTTCTGTTTCTTACTTGAATGCTTATATTCTTGGTATGGTATCCGAGGAAAACATTGTTAAATTCCTTCTCAGAACCATGTTCTCTCTAATCACTGTTTTGTAGTGTTTTGAATTTTTTTGGCTCAGTCAAACAATTGAGTCACTAACTTTTGCTCTGGTTCCACTTCTCAGCTTATTGAGTTTATGTTTCCTGCTCTCCTATGTCAGAGCAAAGAAGGCCCACTCTTTGTCCTTACCCTCCTTAATGATCGGGTCTGCCAAGGTGTTTTGTGAACCTTGGAACCAGGTTATTTGTGTAGGATAGTGTTAGAGATATAAATGCCCCATAGTTCCATAGGGGGTTTATGCTGAGCTACTCCATGCACAACGAGCTTTGAATTGGATGCTTAAATTCTTTCACCAGAGATTCCCAGAGAACGCAGAGAAGGCATTGATTGTGGAAAAAACATAAACAAGAATGATGAGATTCTCTATTTCTGAAATCTGACACTAAGATACTGGAATTAAATGAGTGATAGTCTGGTTTGAGCTGTTTTACTGATTTTCAATAGACAGTTTCACTGTTTTTCAATACACAGTTTCAAAGGCTTGTTAAAGGCTGAGTGCTGCTTGGATGGTTCTACTCTATAACAAGGAAAAACAGAGAGAGTGAGAACTTTATGTTGGAAAAATGTATTAATCAATAGGTAATTCCAATCTTTTGGGATATTTTTGGTTTATCCTTATTCGGTGAGAAAAACACAGTGAAAAGAACAGTGTAGTGTTGTTTTATGAATGTCAATAAGACAACAAGCAAGAACTTGATTTGTTCTCATTCCCAGTTTTTCACTTCAGTTTCCTGAATATTGATTCTTTAGGTGGGTATTTGCTTCAATTTGAAGAGTGTTGCCAAATAAATTTAAAAAAGACCGAGAGGAAGGTAATTGTATTATTATATCAAGCTAGCACTAAGGCAGTGTTGTAGTAATTACAAGTGAGCAAAAACAAAAATAAAAATCCTTTCTAATCTTACAGGGATTCTAGGAGGCTAAGTATAGATTTTGCTTCATTTATATAACTTTTTGCCGATAAGGAAATAGATCTTGGGTGTAAATCAACCCTAGAAGCTAGCTCATGGTTGGACATCTGGACTGTGGAGACTCCAACACCCCCTCGTGCGCCCAAGATTTGACTGCGGAGAATATAATATGGGAGCCCAACATGGGGTAAACCAAGAATTGAGATGGACCTGACTTTGATACCATGATAAGAAGATGGACTTTGACATAACTCAACCCCAAGAGCTACATGAGGATTGCCCAAAGATCATATAAGAAACCAAACACCCCAGCTATAGCCGATGTGGGACTATGATGTTTGCAAAAAAAAATAGTTCATTGTTTTTTAACCATATGCCACTTTAATTGTTTGTACTCTGGATTTTCTTCATTGGTGTGGAATTGTAGTTCTTGTTCTTCATAACCAATTAATATTTGGGAATATTCAACAAAATATTGTTGTTGCTCTGAATTGTACAAGCTTTTTTCATTGTAGGAGGGGCCAGTGTTATTAAAAGTGAAAAGCGCAAAGAAGCTCGAAGGTCCGTGGGGGCTTTAAGCGCAAAGCGCAAATAAAGTGTGGGCTTTAATGAAAAAGGGCGCAAAGGGAGAAAAAAATGAAATCAAGGCTAATAATTATAAACATGAATGACAAATATATGACTAAAGAAATTGAATTTTTTTTATGATAAAGTGAAATATCAATTGTTTAGTGTCACTTCTTCACTTCTTCATAAGAGGCTCATTGACAAGGAAAAGTTTGTCTTAGAACTTTGATGACGACATTGAAGCGCACATAAAGCAAGGCGAAGCGCTCAACACGTTTTGAGCCTCGCTTTTAGGGCTTAAAGCGCGCCTTTGATAACACTGGGAGGGGCAAGGGGTGTTGAGTGTTTATTTTATTTTGGGGTGAGGGGGAGGGGGGTGGGGGTATTGTGTACGAATGCTCTTTGATTTATCTAGTAACTTATGGTTTAGTTACAAATTAGGAACTTGGGAGCATGTTAATGTTACTTCCATAAAAATCTGACTTACATAGTAATTAAAATATTAAATGGCAAACACTAGCATATCACTAGGAATGGCAAAATTAACCCATAAAAGCACGACTTGTGCAACCCGCACCTCAGACCATTTTGACACGCCAAATTTAGCCGATTTAAACATTGGGCTGATATGTAGCCCAAATTGATCAATGAAAAATCTTGTGTTCTAGTGTCTTGGCTCACCTAATTTACTGTCACAATTTTGTCCATGCAAAGGTTGCTATTGGTAGGAGGCTTGGTATTGAAGAACCCCAGCTTATGAAGATCATAAGGGCCACACTGTATACACACAGTGAGTGGTTCAAACTTCAAATGTGTAAAGATCGATTTGAAGGGCTCTTAAGGATCGACGCCCTGAAGGAAGTTGGTGCCAAATTGATTATAGATGCTTCCAGATTGGATGTTGACATGAGCACTGATGGATCATCTCAAGTTACTGGTTCCTCAAATAATAGGAAACAGGAAGATGGAAGTTCAACCCAGTCATCGGCCAGAGATGTTGGATGTGATGAAACTGCAATACTAAAAGTTATGGTGAGTTTTTTTTTTCTTCTGGTTTTCAAGCTTGCTTCTAACTTTATCCTTGTTATTGCATCTCGATGAACCTGTTGTGAAAGCCCTTCTACTCAATACTATTCTATTGATGTGTATCTCCCCTGGTTACCATGTGCTGCTTGTCAGCAGATTATGTTTAACTTTCTAGGTGCTCTCATTATGTGCCACTTTTTCAGGTCATTTTTGAGTGCAGCAGCTACTTATTTGTGAATATTTGGTGCAGGAATTTCTGGCATTGCCCCGAGCGGATGCAATTCACCTCCTTGCACAGTACAACGGGAATGCAGAGACGGTCATTCAGCAGATATTTGCATAGCCCCTAGATTATAGCTGAACAGTAATATTCGTTTATTTGTTAAATTATTTTATTGTGCCATAAATTCTTACCTGTGAGGCTTATTATATGCTGAAAGGGGATGGAATAACTTGTAAAAGAAAACAACAAAAAATAGGTGGGAAGGGGATGTCTTTATGTGTAGCCTGAAGTTTTTTCCGCGTCAAGTATGATATTAGTTGATGAGAGGGTTGATTATGTAAAGTGCTCTGTAAATAGCCTTCAGTTCCTTCGCCATATTTAGTTGGACGGAGCATCCAGTGGATGAAGAAGTTGAACTTCTGTGCTCTTCAATTTACCGTGGGTTTACTGATGCAATGTTTGTTGCAGTGCGTCTACATTAGTCAACTTAACTTTGCTGTAGGAGTCTTTGAAGTTGCAAATCGAGTTGAACATATATAGGTAATTAAAAAATAAAGTAAAGAAATGACGTCACTTTATTTATTTATAACAAAGTTTGCCATATTGCTACATTGACTTGTTTCTTTTATGTACTTATAGGGAAGTATTGCCATATTGCTTCATTGACTGATACACAGAATGATATGCTACTAAAGATCCACCAATACTATAAAGATAAAAAGGATTGGGCAAAGATCGAACGGAAATACTCAACACATTCAGGCCGTAGCAACAAAGTGGATGACAAAATAACAATACAATGCCATTTAGACTAACCGACTAGCGGCATTGGACTTGCTGAATTTTATCTCGTCTGATATAGTTATTTATTGTTTTTAATTTTTCAAAAAAGAATATCAACACACGAGCCGCATTTCGATGTAAATCAATCAAAACTCAAAAGAAAACAGAAATAAACATGGAAATTTACCTTTTCCCTTTCACCCTGTTTGAATTGTACAGCCAACATGTGTCCAACTCAAAACCCTCGTTAAGCCCCCAAC